TTCCTTTCCTATCGCGGTGTTTTGTTGGAGGAAACGAGGAAGGAGAGGAGAAAGAGGCAGCACCGCCAGGGCAACATTGCGCACAGGTGCACAGGCCATGGCCGTCTGCATCCCTCTTCGCACCCTGCCCAAGCTGACAGAACATTCCACAGAACCGAACGCCTCTCTACTCACTACTAGTCTACCATTGCGAGAAACTCAGTGGTCGACGATGAAAATGAGAGACACGCAATACTGCGTGGCAGGAGCGCACCCAGCGGACATGGCCGGTACTACAGAAGCTCAGGTTCATCACTCTGAAAACGCATCAGGTGCAGATGAGGACGCCTCTGTAGTGCCGCCCCCTCTAACGGATAATGATGTAACTGCAGCTCATGCTGATGAGACAGTCGTGTTAGAAGGCCCGGCGTTTCAAAATACCGAAATTGGCGAGGAAGGTCAAGAAATGCATTACGGTGTAGCCGCAGCAAACACACTGTACCAACAAGGAACAGCTCCGAATCGCAGCACCGCTGGAAATTTCTGCACGACAGACGCCAACCAAATGGAAGAAATGCCCCATGCAATAGCAGCCGAGGCAAACGCACTGTATGTACGGGATTCGACACCGATCGCGAATCGTGGAACTCTCACACGTGAGCGTAGCGCGGAGGCAATTTACGGTGCAACTGTCGAGTAAGCGACCCATCAGTAGTTGTAGTAGTGACAGTAGTCGTAGTAGTAGTAGTTGAAGTAGTAACTTTTGGGATGGTCTATTTCTGCAAAAGGTCGATATGTAATAGGTCATGCTGGAATGGGGAAGAATGTGGAGTAAAATATGCTGTGTTTCCCCCTACCAAAAATGCCAGCATTCCTAGTTTTATTTCTTTCCTCTTTTTTCTACCCTGAAAAGGAGTCTAAAAAAACTACAGACACAGAAAAAAGTTCATAAGGAACTTGTATATTCAGTAAATTAAAAAATATACATTAGGTTTTACCTAAAATTATTTTATTTTCAGATGATTCATATTTGGAAAGTCAAGTCGCATGCTAGTTTTATGGTCACATAAAAAGTCTTCAAACATAATATCAAACTTAATATTCACAAGAGTTATACTTAAATAATTTTATTTCTATTGACCATAAAAATGTATTTGTTCTTTTTAAAAGTTATGGCTTATCCATAAGAAGTATACTAGTACTTAGTCATATTTACCCTTAATAAAAATGTATTTTGTCTGTTTAAAAGTTATACCTTATCCTTGGTATACTCAACTGTAGTCTTTCCCTTCATAATAAAAATTAGTTTTTCTTTCTGTTGAAAAGTTGTTTCATTCCAACTTTGTGACGAATATGTTGATCAGAACAACCAGCATAGAAAACACAATCGCCGCAATATTCGTTGCCTTCAGCATCTCCTCCTGTTTTTTCCTCTTTTCCTCGTCTTTCTCCAACTTCTCGATGTTTGTCGCGCCCTGAACCACCAGCAGACTGAAGATCACCACTTGGAAAACCATGGAGAAGGACAGCAGGGTAACTCGCGCCACCTAGCGGAAAAAGAAATCACTACAATCAAGGACAGACAGTAGTAATCCCAAACCTATACTCAAAAGTTGTCCGTGCTTAGCATTTTGATATTTTTTGCTACTTTTGAACAAGTTTTAGACCATGAGTTCTTATAAAATAGAAGCTTTGAGGAGGCATAACATCATCCTAAACGTAAGAAACAGCTAGCCTCCTTCGCAGAGTTTTTTTTTCGGTGAGCGACGCGAGTTTATGCCACGGGGACGGTTTTGCCGACGAGGGACTTTGCCGGCATATATATATAACTAGCGTCGCTCCCCGAAAAAAACATTAACGCCGCCGCCCCAGAACTCTGCAAAGGAGGCCCATGCAAGAAACAGCAATGTTCAAGACCATCGTCTTCAACTAACTAGTGAAAGTCTACAACATGTTTAAGACGTCCCTTACCTCTAGGTTCGTGAAAGGGTCCGTCTCCCTGCTCTTGAGCAGGTTTGCCATCTGTGACGCGTTACTGGTGAACAGAGCTGTGTCCATCAGACCCTGCACCACGGTCTTTAGCGTCGCGTACGTGTTCACATTACTGATGACGCGACCTAAGGGAAAACGGGAAAAAATATTTACACAGCAAAACTATAGATACATTTGGTACTTTGGTATACTGAGATATATACGCACAATTCTTTTTTCATTCATTGACTGATATGCGTCCAGGGCTGCCCAACTTGACACAGAGTAATACAGTTTAAGGGCTAGACAAAATGACTAGATTTTTGTAGTCTCCATCAGATTCCTTTGCATGCGCAGGCCGCGAATAAATACTAGTAGTAGAAATCGGCCTAAAATGAATGTAGCTGACCAGGGTTCACGGCAAACTGGACCCTCCATGGTCGGACAATTCCCCTGGTTAGGTACACATTCTTTTTAGGCAGATTGCTACTTTTATTCGAGCCTTCCAAAGGAGTCTGATGTTGGTCAGCGCACACCGGATGAAACCTCTATTTTTTCCGACGTCTTTCCAGAACACCCTCCCCCCCTTCCATTGGCGGTCACTGGGTCATTAAACTGGTAATACGATATAAAGCTGACCGAAGCTACTGGGAGGTCACGTTCAAAGCTGAGTTCCAGACACTCAAAGTTGACTGACAGATGGCTTACACGCCGGCGGAGTATTAGCCTCCGTCTGAGAACGCCACTTTGTTTCCAATCCATATATCTGTCAGACAGTTATATGGGGCGAAACGCTAGCTGCGACCCACCAGACGCAGTTTAAACACTACTGTGCAGATTTGATATATACATTGACACACACGGCATATCTCTTTGCGCTGTGTAGCAAATACTAGTATATGTACAGGACAGTAAACTATAAGTATTTCTAGAAGCTGAAGCGGCAGTCTACGGCACAGTTTCGTATATCTAAGCCAGTCGAAGAAATAAAGTGTTTTCTGGGCGCGTGTGCAGAGTGAGGACTGCATCTATGTGCAAAGCTGTGTTTGGAGAAGCCGAAAACAGGAAAGAAAATAAAGTTTTACCCAATAACGCTCCCGAGGGGAGAAGCCATTTCTTGTCTACGATAGTGCAGAAAAAGGAAATTAAAGACATAACGTAAAAAAAAGTAAAAAAAAAACTAACAGACAATTAAAGACATAACGTAAAGAAAACTACTTGACGCTGATTTATAAAAAGAAGTACGCAACGGATCTACATTTCTACACATCGTCGTATATATGTTACTAAAGTCCATATAAACATATTTCCATGTATAAAGTCTATATACATTCATTGTATTTTCACCATGTTTACCGAAAATCCTACCTGTAGGGTTACCATTTTCCGAGTCTGTCTCGCTGGAGTCCTCCCCCCTACCCGGAGGAGAGTCCTCTCCCCCCTCCGCAGGATTGGTAGTTCCGGTGAGAGGTGCCATTTCCACCCTGTCGTTGTGATCGTTCGCCATGTTTTATTCGGCTCGGCTCAGCGTCGACTGTTGTCAACTTGGAGATTAGTTTTGACCTGAAAGTGACATACGCAAACTTCAGCCCGGTATACAGTCTTGACTTGAACTCTGTTAAGTCGTACAAGTTTCTTGGGGTCACATACATCGCACGGTACTATGGAGGGTTTTCGACGGTCGAGAGGAAACAGTTTAATACATTACCCATAGGACCAATAGTGTACTGTCCCCATTGATATAAACGTCCCCATGACATCACCGGTGATGCCATCACCGAAACCGTACTGAGACTGATTTTGACCGGAGCGAGAGAAAGTTCCCTACTTCCTCCCGCGGTACTTCCTCTTTCTCATGCGAGGAACGACCTTAAAAGTGATGACTTCCAACAAAGACATGCAAACAGAATGTGTCAACATCTCACGTCTACGTGCACCTCTACACGGAAACACTGCTTTGATAAGAAGCAGCTGTTTAATGTAGGCTACAGCTTTCAGACCTGTCGTATGTCTTTCTTTCGTGAGTGTTCCCTTCAGTCTCTCCATCTATCTCTCTGTCTATCTACGAATACAGTTTGCCGCTCTGAACTGGTTCCTTTTTAGCGGACCAACTCCCTAGCATGTTTGTAATGATTTGTCTATTTGGCGATTTCTACTCTTTCCTACCACCTCCGAAGCCTGGTAGAGGCTATGGGGATTGGGAGGAAAGCTGCTAATTATTCAGGGGAGAAAATGGAACAAAGCATCGCAGTATGGACACAAAAGCGCCAAAATATCCCGTTTGAATATTAAATGGTTTCCAAACTGTCCCGCGGGACATTGGACAGTAAATCCAACAATGCGGCCGACTGGGTCACATTTTTGGGGCGTGTTATCGTTGGTGTTTGGTTTCCATCAAAAAACGGATTAATTTACATGAAACTCCGAGCAGGGACCAGCTACCCCCTCTTCCCACACACGTACGTACACACACGTCACGTATTATCAAACTTGTTCCTAATCCCTGGTGCAAGCATGTATTTGTCGAGGTTTAACTACTTATTTACTGTGCACTGTGAACCACTATAATTGCTACTGGCTGGATGGAAAGTCGCCTTCATCAGGCCTCCCTACAGTATAGAGGGTAAAGGGTGGTGCTATATTAAAGAGAGTTTGACTGACCAGGAGAGTGAGTTTCATTTCCCCCTCGTACTACACTTAGGCCAACTCCCCTAGCCAATTTTTCTCCCTATTTGCCTAAATTTGACTGTTGTTTAATAGACCCGTGTTGCCTCGTATTGACGGGAGACTAGACAATGCTAGATGGAAAGAGCCAGTGGTTTCCGTGACCTATATATAAAAGGGGGTCAGGCCGACCCTATTCGGTTCAGCAACATGCATCCTCCCCGCTAGTTTCCTGACAACGGAAGTCGCCGTTGACTGCTAAGTACATTCTCTTTGCATGTCCAAGTGTTTGTACACACTTGTATTGACACACCATTCAGGGCGGCCCGTACCGTTAGGTCAACGTTAAATAGTACATTCGAATTCGTACCTACCAACAGTGGCCGAGTGATGTAGCTAGGTTTAATAGCTATGCAGACAGTAACTTTAGTAGCTCTTACCTTCGTTTTTGTGGAGCGTTACAGAGACAACCTTTCTCTGTGGGCGTTGTAGCAGCACAGTGTCAGAGGGCGGCGTTTCTACTGGCGGATATTAAACAAAGCCTACTGGCCTCTCACCGTCAGATGTCGGTATTTATGAATGGGACGGTCCATTATGAAGTGGGGGGGTTCTCAGAAATTGAAACTAAATCATTGAGTTACCATTACAAAAGATTACCATTCTGATAGCCGTTAAACCATCACTATGTCAGACAATTGTGCACTTGTTTGAAGAAATAGGAATCTTTGATGCAGTGGAAACATTATATTATAGAAGAACTGGAATTTCAATGGTCTCTTCCGCTGCTTTTCGTGCGTGTTTGCACGGTCTCCAAATGTGACAATTGCTGTTGTTCACTTTGTAAAGAGGGTTTTTTGGTGACGTCAGCCGCTATTTTTGCCCTGTAGATTAATAGGCGCAACCCGCCCCCAGTGTGTGTCTGAGTACCGGGGAGAAACCGTTAGTGATAGGAGTTATTTCAGGGTAGCAAAACTGGCCTTTTTTCGAGGTCAATTTTCTGGTCATTTTATGAAGTCTTAAAGTTCCATTAACCCTTTCCCATAGCATCTGTGACTGTGAGGCAAAATATCATGGTAACACAAGACGAGTGCAAGTGGCTGCCAGGCATGACCCAAAGGAATGAGTTCAAGACGCATGCGCAACCCAAACCACCGTGACTTCCGGGTTCCTTGGCGACCGAAACTAAGACTTCTCCTTGCGCCAGGCTCACCAAACCACACAGTATGACCCTTTCTTGACCACCATACCAGCTGTACGGATTCTAAAAGGTCTCCTTCTTTTCTTGACACAGAATTAAGGTATAGAGTTTTTCACTTGTCACGAACATACGACCGCTTGTTGTCACTTTCTTCTGCATGCTCCTCGTTTTTCTTGCCCGATTGCATCCATTCCTAGCTCCACTGTTTTTATTCCATTCACTCCTCTGTCGTAATTGCATAGAACCCATGGACTGGAGCTAAAATAGGGATATGTACTCCTCCTGGGCGTTTCTCAAGTTTGTTTTCTGTGTCATTTGACTTGAGTTCGTCCAAAGGCGTCGACCTACAATTTCGGACACTGTATTGTAAAGTGACCAGGTCCTTGTTGTGTGTTATATTAGTTCTCAGACTCTACCCAGTTTCGAGTCGTTATTCTTGTTATAAAGTATGATGTAAGAATGGAAACCGAGATGATCAGTAAAGTGCTTCTAATTTTTCAGGAACTTGGGGATACTGACTGACAACAATGAGTGACGCCAGTACTGTAGCACAGGAAGACAACACTGCCCAGGATTTGGGGGCTAGCGCTAATCCAGGCGAGACACAGCCACATGCTTCGACGTCAGGACAAAGTAGGAGTAGCGGGGAACTAGACTTCCATTCCCCAGCCGAGAGTGAGGAAGACGATACCGACAGCGACGGCAGTAGCAACAACGGTCACGGTAGGGCGGCAGTAGGAATAGCGCCCCCTCTCGGCCAACATGAGAAGTACCACGTTTTCTTCTGCTACAGCAGCGCCGATGCACCATGGGTAAAAGATACGATCCAGAAGCTCGAGTCAGATGAGCTCGGGTTCATGTGTTGTTTCCACGAGCGCGATTTCCTCCCAGGAGTGGCCATTATCGATAACATCGTCCGCTCCATCCACGAGAGCCAGAAGACCGTCTTCGTACTCTCGCGAGATTTCGTCGAGAGCAGGTGGTGCAATTTCGAACGGCAGGTCGTCATGGGTGCCAACCTCAGAGAAGAAAACAAAAAGGTCATACCCGTCATGCTTCGCGAGTGTGACCTGCCTGAGTTCCTTCAACACATGACTTACCTGGAAGTGTGGACTGCGTACTTTTTCGACAGATTCATTGGTGCATTGAAAGGTAATTTTGATATATAATAACGTTAATAATGATAATTGATATGTATGAGAAAATGCTACGATTCCATAGCGAAGGTAAGAGGTCGTGAATCTTGTTCAAAGGGACTTTGTTCACTTTTTTTTTGCCTTATAGAATCTACTTCATCTGATCCAGGCAGTCAGTCGGATTCCCTCTCACCGTTCACCTACAACCCCAGTAAGTATTGATTGTCACATTGATTCAACCGTAATATTCTGTGTGCAATACAATTATAGTAGATGACAAACGTTAACAGATACAATGACATCTCGCTAGTATGTTTTTCATACCAAGTCTTAGTAACATAGTAATACATGTACTTTGTAAATACGGCATTTTTACAGACTTCAACAATGGCCAACAGTTGTTGAGGATCGAGGCGACGGCTGCCTGTTGCCCACCCTGTGCTCAGTTTGACGATCAGATTGTTCCATCTGAACTGAGGTCCCAAGGCATTCGGGTATGGATAGAAACAAACCTTATATCAAAGACTTCAAATGTCCTGAAAGTACATGTGGCATGCTTAAGCTTACACCATAGAATACATGATATGGCGAAGTGACAGTGGAACGTAGGCGGTATATTTCTTGAATAGTAAAGTTCTTTGATAAAAAAAAAATTATTTTTTACGACCCGACGTAAAAGGTGTTACTTGGTGCATAGTGCACTAAAGGTGTTACTTGGTGCATAGTGCACTAAAGGTGTTACATGGTTCACAGTGCACTATGCACCAAGTAACATATAGCGTCAGTGCACAGTAAACCAGTCAGAATTGCCCCGATGAAGATGACAGACGGTCATCGAAACGGTCATCGGCTCGTAAAAAAATAAATGGTTGTGATCGAACTTTGCTATTCATTCGTTTACCAACCTGATGAAATTATTTACGGAGGTACAACTCTTGTAGTCATGGATGGATGTTCATGGTTTTTGGTAGGCGCAAGTTACTATTGGAAAGACGGAGGCCGTTTTTTTGGCCTGTACCAACGTTACTACAGTTGACTTTTTGTGTTTGCTCGTTTGTTTGTGAACAGGATGATTCGAGATGTTGTGGATGGATCGTGAGTTTATAGTTGGGTAGGGATAAGGAATAGGAAGTTAAGTTTGAGTCTTATAGCAGTTTCCTATGTTACGGTGGTGGGCCTTTTGTGTTTGTTGTGTGCGAGTTACTAGTAGTTGGTGACATATACACTACAAGTTGTTGATAGCTGATAGCGTCATAACATTTCCATCTGCAGATACCGAGAAATGATTACCAGGAGGCCATCGGCAAACTGATGGAGACGGCCACGATGTCAGGGTTCAACTGCTGCTCCAGCGAAGCCTTCTTCTGGACACTGGCCTGCATAATCATACTTCCGATATTAGGAAGTTTCCTAGCAATATTCTTAATGGTCCCCTTGGATGATTCTGGTTTCAGTGTAGTCACGGCCAGCCTGTATGCAATATTAGCATTTCTACAAGTGCTTCTTGTGGCACGCTGTGTATCACGTATCAGGGTAGGTTCCAATTTATTCCCTTTATGCTAGCTTCTGTGTAGAATGATTGCCCTTTTGGAAAGTGATAACCAATTTATTTGAATTTCAATCTATATACATCTACATGTATATAGTTATTTGTAAGATTTCATTACTGATTTAAAGCGTGGTACATGAAGATTTTCATTTCTCTACAACAGTATAGCCGGGTTAAGCACTATGTAAGATGAACTTTTTGGTAGTCATTAAGAATGCCATGGCCTCAAAACATGGTCATAAGCTACATTAATTTGATATACTAAATTTCTATTTATATTATTTGTAGCATAAATTCTCACATAAGAGAAAAAAAGTGTATTTGTGTCACGTTAGAACTCTTGTTTCCTGTATTTAAAATTTGCCACCATCCTATGTTCTGTAGGTTGACAGGGCCATGAGGAGGACTCTGGTAGAGGTGAACACCATCCTAGCCAAGTCCCACATCCTTGCGACAGTGACAGGCCGGTGCATATGTTATCCAGTGGCTGTTGTATCCTTTCATACATGTATGAAAGCTATGCTGCAAAAGAAAATTCTTTAGCGTTGAGCTCTGTCAGAAATTGGCTCATCTGGTCTGGTTTTCACACCCAATCAAGCATAAGCGGTTATTGGTGACGATAATGATCAAATATTACTGGACAATTCTGCAATTGATAATCACGCACTTTTCTATTTATCGCCAAAGATCTAGATGCTTAAACACTATCTATGGATTTGCCTTGGTTAATAAATCCGTTGATGTTTCTTACACGGTGTTTATGCAGCTCCAAACTATCATTAATTTTAGACTATAGCCTGGCAACGATTTTGTCCTTACATTGACAACCAGCTCCATTTTGTGTACTTCGAGAGAGGGTCTTGTCTGGTAAGTTTCAGTGAGTGCATGTAACTTTAATGTTTATTTTGGTCATGAAAACGTCCTTCATAAAATCTAATATTTTTTCTCGTTAACATTTGTCACCGTTGTTATAGATGAAGTTACTAGAAGACCTGATGGCGAGGAGCGGATCTGCAGCAGTCATGACGGGCCACACTCAAGCAGACTTCACGGATCCATCGTCATCATCAAACATGGACGATTCACCGCCGGTATGTTGCCATCAATCTCACTAATACGCCAAAAAGCAGTTACTCAAGCAACTGGATATGATTTTAGAAACGTCAGACGTTTCGGCTAGAATCCATATGCATGAATAGTTTGTGCTAGAATCAATGAATAGTTTGTGCTTATAAACCTGCATTTCTCCTCTGGTATCCAGTCACTGACGATAGCTAGTGGATTCTAGCTGAAACGTCTGACGTTTCCAAAATCATATCCAGTTGCTTGAGTAACTGTTTTTGGCGTATCTTATTACTAGTACCTGGATGTCTAACCTTCATCGACGAATCTCACTACTAGTATATTTCCATACAATTTGCCATTTGCAGTAAAATTGTTCTGATAAGGCCACACCAATTTAATTTGTTGGTTCTCGGATTTTTTCTGAAAAAAATATGAAGCGATCGGTGAAAAAGTGAAAATAAAAACAGGTGTACGCATTCTATTATAGCCCCAAATACTACGATTGGAGCCGTGAAGTCAACACAAATTTCAAATAATTAATAATTTGATAATAATAAAAATTTATAAATTTGTAAATTTATACATTTTAAATAATTAATAATTAATGATTCTAAACAACGAATTTTGAACTTATAATCAAACCACTGCATTGATAGATGGTAAAACTGCAACAGCTAGGAAGAAAGAGACTTTGGGAGCAAAATATGAGCATTTTTAAGTTGATTCCTAACCAGAATCTTAATTTGACATCTTTTTTAAAGCATTTCTTGTTTTAACTGATACAGGGGTCCGATGGTGCGTCGTCGTCTTGTGTTGTACCGATAGACGTGGATGATGCCGCTCCCCTTTTGTCAGAAGCGGGTGGAGACGCAGATTTCAACGGGGGCAACTCATCACAAACCTCCCGCATGTCTGAACTGAAAGTACGTGTACTGCATACAAAGACCAGACCAGCTCGCCCTTCGTACAAAGTATCTTTTAGACTGATCACATGTTATATACGTATAGTGTGTTTCATTGCTTGCTGGTCCTTTTCCGGATATTTGGAATTGGCACTTGGGCAAGATTTTGCACACTTGCCATACGTTAACATGTTAAGTGCGGTGACATCTTTAAAGTTATCTGTTTTTAATAGAAACCATTTGCCACTGTAGGCTGAAGCGGAGGCCCTGCTGCTGAACTACAGTGAGCTGTACGTGCGGCTCCTGGTCACCAAGAACCTGCCGCAGCCCCGCCGGTCCCGCGGGCACACCCAGCAGGGCGCCTGTCTCTGTCAGCTGGTGGAGCTGCACCAGTTCGGCTGGAAACTGGACCGGGAGGAGACCTCGATCGTCTGATGCCAACTGGACCTGTCTCTCTCTCTCTGTCCCTTTCCCACTGTCTCTTTCTCTCACTCTCTCTCTCTCTCTCTCACTCTCTCTCTCTGTATACTAGTATATATATATGGTTAGTCATTGGTTGCTTTATAATTGGTTCCTTGATAATTGGTTGCTTAGTAATTTGTTGCTTGCTTGCTTGCTTGCTTGCTTGCTTGCTTGCTTGCTTGCTTGCTTGCTTGCTTGCTTGCTTGCTTGCTTGCTTGCTTGCTTGCTTGCTTGCTTGTTTGGTTGGTTGATTAGCTCTTATGAATAATAATCAAGGATATGGATCAAGTAAATATTTTTACTATAATATGATTAATATTTTGCGATGACATGATTGTGAGATGACATTGCACTATAATTGTTCTGTCTACCAATCAGCTATGAATGGAAATCAATTTACTGTCATATACTTACATCTATTTCTACATTTGTGATAATGCGTATAAAGTAATAATTGCTGCTTATTACCCGCCTGATTATGATGACAAATTAGCATGAAGTCATATCTATATTTGTGATTATGCGTATAAAGTAATAATTACTGCTGATTACACGCATGATTATGATGAAAAATTAGCTTTTAATCATATTATCTATTTCTATATTTGTGATTAGGTGTAGAAAGCTGATTGTATTACTGTTGATTGCACGCCTGATTATGATGACAAAGTAGCATCGCATGATATGATGATTGTATATACAGACTCTATATAGACTGGGCTGCCAATGATGATGATATACAGACTGCATGTTATCCAGTCTTTTAGAATCTTAAGTAAATTCTGTTAAGATCTCCCTACATGACAAAAACGCATGGAAATTTCACTATTTCTAACATCTGCGCCACTCCGTAGCTAATTTGCATGTATATGAGCCCCGAAGGGCCTTGTACCTGTCAAACCAGTCTGACCGGCTGAGTTCTAAGACAAATAAAACCTCCTGTTCGAGTGACTCGTGATCAGCGTACTTCAGCGTCTATTGCGTGCTGAACCAACTTACGTGTACATCATCGTAGTGAGACCACAACTGATCATCTGTATTACCACACAATGTAAGTATTGGGTATTTTGTACCTATGAAATTCTTGCTATACATACTTTACTTTTCATGTGATTTTCTTGTTATGATACTGTGTATGCACGCCTGATGCTGTGTTTAGATTCCCATTTTAATAACCAACATGGTCGCTGAGTATTCAAGTTATGATTATTATGAAGTCAGTGAATAGCCTATATATACTTTACTGGTGTCTACCATAATGTTGATTATGTTTGTTTTATTATTGAGATTTGATTGGTGCACACGTGGTTGTTACAGTTGCTTTTTTCCCTAGATAACACTTAACCTGATCAGTCAATTCCCTGTCAATTACAAACAGAAACATTCGCGATGTTTAAGGGTGTAGAAGAGCACAACAGTGACGAGACAACACCTCTTGTTCCGGGTCAGTCGGGCACAAACGATGGTACTTTCTTCCTATCTACTTCTAAGCGTACATTATATAACTACTGGTTTCTTCAGTAAGGGTTTATTAATTCATATGCCTTCACCTGTGAAAAATACAATATTAGAAAAGCCTCTTCAGAGAATGAAAAGAAATCTAGCGATTTCGCCCCCACCCTTAGCGATTTCGCCCCCCACCAAAATATCAGTAAATCTCGCTAGCGATCTCACCCCCACTGGAGGGCGAAATCGCTGGGGGGGGGGGCGAGATGCTGTGGCACCGGCAACCGTAAAACGCTTAAATCAGGCTAGGGTACTACCAGTGAACCCAATGGTTCAAATCTGACTCCATTCTGTATGTCATTTCAGTCTCGACAGCGATTCAGAACATGAAACGAAACTCACAAACGTACAAGGGACAGAAGACGATTCACGAGACGGTTCAGAACACAGCTCTGTTCAGCACGAACGTGGCGCAGTTAGTCGCGATACTGAGGGAAAACCAGGACGTGTCGAGTCTCACCACTATGCAGGTAAAGCCCCTGGCACATATAGCCGAATATAGCCTAGCATGGGTGCCAGACCGACAGCATGCACAGGATAATAACATTGAGCCTAGTGTGCTTCGGGTCGGGTCTGGCACCCAGGCTAAATACGGCCTCCCAAGGACATTATCCTTGGGCCTTCCGAACACTGCAGAACTCTGCCCAACCATGAGTAGGTTGGGGGCAAGGTCAGCTCTGGCCGTTGGCTGTAGTTCGGCGAGGTCGGCTACTGTTCGGCTGCACTATATGATGTTTCAAAATGTTAAAAGAATCGGGTGTGGACGGGAGGTTGGGCTACGGTTGACTAGTGTTCGGGAGTGGGTCAACCATTGTTAGGGACGTGTTTCGGGGGGTTAAACTTTGATTCTATTTGATTCTAGATGGCGCGACTGGTCCTCCTCGGAGCGTCTGTCCTGTTCCAGGTCGTCATTTACATACTGCTCCTGCTGCAGGGGAAGACATTGGTGAAGAAGGAACACGAATATACCCTCCCGGGACAGAGACAGGAGGACAAACAGAAGTTGAGGACGAAGAACAAAGCCGCCATTGTGTTTTCTGTACTCGTGCTGGGCGCAAACTTCGCCCTGACTCAGCTGACTGAGTCGTGAACATCAAATACGCTATCTGTTGTGTAGATGAGAGACGAGATGATGTCTTGTGATAATTAATTAATGTGTTTACTTCCGGAGAAGGAGATATATTTCTGCGGTGAGACATTGTTTTGATTTTTGTTTGTGTTCGCAGCTAGTTGCCACGGAGGGCTCGGCGAATTTCTTTAATTTTAGTTATTGGGGTCCAGATGATGTGTTTTTTAATGCAATATTGTATCTGTATTAAGAGATAGGGGAATTCTTTTTACACAACCAATGAATCTCACCACGCTGACGTTTCGGTGTCTGTCAGACACCTTCTTCAGAGCTTCTGACTGGAGTACTGCATAGTAGTAGTAGTAGTTCACTGTGTTCTGCTGCTGCAGTAGCTCTGCATCCTGCAGCATCAATCAGTCTTTCTTCAGTTCTCTCCACTTTGTCCTGTTCATCGCGAGCCTCCTGAGCTCCTGGAGTTTTCTTTCTGACCGCAATGGTCCTAGTCCTCTTTCCTTGAGGTCTGCCCTCAGCAGACTTAGTAGGTTACTGCAGTGCCTTCCCTTTCTGGGTCTGTAAGTATTAGATCCTACCAGGGCGAAGGTCAAGGCTTGCTGTGCAGGTGTATCTGTCGGCATTCTTAGTGTCCGAACATGGTCCATCTTGCACATTTCACTTTAGTTGACAACGGGCCTGTATTGCACAGTTTGTACAGTGCTTTGTTTGAGATTAGACTGTTTGGCCATCGATGTCCTGTGATTGTTCTTAGATGTTTCCGGTGGCAGGCATCTAGCTTGTCTATTGCTGTCTGTGGTGCTGCCCAACTGTTGCAGTTGTAGAGCATGATTGACACGCAGGTGGCATTGTACAGTTGCAGCTTCTTTTTTAATGGAATTTTTGATCTCGCCGCTATATGTAGTCGATGTAGGTTACATATAGCGGCTACATATAGCCGGCTACATATAGCGGCGAGATGCAGTACTCCAGACAGAAGCTCTGAAGAAGGTGTCTGACAGACACCGAAACGTCAGCGTGGTGAGATTCATTGCTTGTGTAAAAAGAATTCCCCTATATCTCTTATGTTTTACCAACCTGATGAAATTATTTTCGGTTGTACATGTATCTGTATTTTCTGGTATTTGGGGTTGGGTGTTGATGAGGCATATCCGCATTAACATAAGTTATCTTTATGTTAAAACATACAAGACAGCAGAAAATGAGTTTTTTTCCTTTGTTTCCTCAATAAAGCCAACAGTTTACTGAGAACGTGGCCAAATTATACTATTTCTCTCAGTCGATGGGTACGAAAGAATTTTGAATGCCTGATTTTTACATACAGCGAATCCTGTTTCGATGAATCCAACACCTATGATAAGTTTACTTACTCCAAGAAAGGTGACATTTGCAAATCAAATGCATAATGTTCACATGGTCTAGCATAGCAAACTACGGCTGGGCTTATTTTTACTCAGACACAATCATAATATTATATATGATGACCAGCCCCTCCAGCGTCCCTCCACTTTGCAACATAATGTATTCCAACACCATATATAGTGACAAGCACCCTGAGGTCGGCTCAGACGCTTTGCTACATTAATGTAATCCAACACCAGTTACGGTGGTTACATCCGTCTTGTCCAGGCGATTGACCTTTAATTATAAGCTATTTGATTGGACCTGCCATGAAACAATATAAACAATATTTTCTTTCTGCAGGGGTGAACACATAATGTAAGATTCGTTCTCCAATACATGGCCATATGACAGTGATATGTCCAATCCCATGTATAAAATAATTTAACGTCTCTGGTATTTTCTGTTGTCGACCATCTTTTTACCATGAACTCATGACCTCTGCTACCTGTATCCAGTTCATTCTAGTTGCGTTATAGCGAAGTTTATGACCAGCACCAGTCCCGTGAAGACCATGGCCACCTTGTTGGTGTTCCTGAGCTTCTGTTTGTCCTGGTTCCTGTGCTCGGCCTGGGTGTACTCCTCCTTCTTCCTCACGCGTGTCTTGCCCTGCAGTAGCAGCAGCACGTAGATCACACCTTGGAAGAAAAGGGAGAACGCCAGGAGAGCCATCCGGGCGATCTAAAAGGGTCAAGCACATATGACGTCTCTTTGTTATTTGTTTCGTTCGAGCCTTTGGTTATACAAGAAATACAAGTTCTGAAATCGCTTTTCAATGAGGCCTTGAGGAAAGAGGTCAAAATACAAGTCTAGATCTGGGCCTAGTAATAGAGACACGGATCAACCAGATCAACATCGGATTAACACCGGTTTAACACTGGATCAACGATCTAGTGTTGATCCGGTTGACCCTCTGGGATTAAATGTACTACATGAGTAGCTCTACCGTTTGTTGAGTCTTTTGTGAATATCCTAAAATATATCTATATTCCTCTTAGTTTGATGCTCAGATCCAAGTCCTTACGGTGAAAGGATCGGATAGTAGTGGCTAGGATTACCTTCTTTTGCGTTGGATAGAGATCAGCATGTAATGCCCTACCACCACGAGTTCAATCTGTAACGTGTTTCTAAATCGACTTGAAGGTGTTTTACGTCACCTGTGGCCCGGTGAGAGCGGCCTCCTCTGTCCCCTTCACCAGTGTGATCATCTGTGCTGCATTACTGGTGAGCAGGGCGGTGTTCTGTAGGCCCTCGTGCATCGTCTTCTGTCCCTTGTAGGTATGAGTGTTCTCTGCCAGGTCCTGCGTAGTTCTCTTGGCTAAACAAACAAATGAACGGGGAGACCATTTGATTTTTTTTAATTCTATCTTCCTGTCACTCCACCGCATTAAACTACACGACGAAGCAAACACGCACATACATACATACATACACACACATGCATACACACACACATACACACACACACACACTCACACATACACACACACACTCACACAAACACACACAAATACACACACACACACAAATACACACACACACACACAAATACACACACAAATACACACACACACACACACAAATACACACACACACACACACAAATACACACACACACACAAATACACACACACACACACAAATACACACACAAACACACACACACACACACACAAATACACACACACACAAATACACACACACACACACACACACACACACACACACACACACACACACACACACACACACACACACACACACACACACAAATACACACACACACACACACACACTACCTATCCCTTGACCTCCCACAATACCTACATGTAAGTGCCCGGTGTCAAGCCAAATACATGATCCTGCCAAATAAATTACCCCGACACTACTTCGGGGTTTCCAATATATCTGAGACAAGGAGTGGGAGGGGGTTGATGTGGGAGACTAAACCTATCCTAACCCTAATCGTAAGTCTAAACCTAGCCCTGAACAATGTTCCCAACCCTAACCCTAGCCCTAAACACCTGACCTCTCACGTATGTGGCAGCTCAAGGATTTGGCTCAACACCGGGGGTAAAAATTAACCCTACCCTTTTCCTTCAGCCCCTGCAGACGGCCCGGTATGAGTGCGCTGGTCTCAGACTGCTGGACCTTCACGGCAGGAACAGCAGCGGGATCCTCAAGCTCAGTCATGATCAAACTTCACTCGGTAGATCTACAGCAAAAGTCATGTCAATCATAATGATCAATTATTCTGTAAAAAAAACTTTAAACTGTTCTCTAACTCGGAGAATCACTCATTGAAATTTTCGACCGAATCACTTCTTCAGCTTTTTGACCAAATCGATCGATTGATTGTAACTAAATTGAAGAATTTGCAAAGACCCCTGACCTACCTCCACTTGACCTCTTGAAAAACGGCTTTAGGCCGAAGAGTTGTACTGATGCACATATGTACTGTACATTTCAAGGTTAAATAAAGGTTGAAAAAAATTATGGTCACTTCTTTCATGTGTGGCGTCAGCAATGGGTCAAAGTTCGTCGGAAGTCGATATCGCCCCTCGTCTTGGTTGAGCGAAAAAATTGTTATCAACCTTGTAACATCTTGCTTTCTATTATGAATTCATACTCGAAGTACAATTTTAGATTGTAGTCTAGCACAGAATCCATCTTGCTTGCGTTTGTGTTTGCCCATTTTGTTAACAAATCGTTGATCACTTCAAGGATATGACAGCGGATCCATAGTTTTACTGTCAAACATGTTGACAGGAAAAAAACACCCCCGGCCCACTCAAACCAGCAGAGTGGAACAGTCCTTTCACCAATTGCAGACACCCCAGTTCTGAAACCGGTCCATCGGCCTGTGCCCTAGGGTAGCGCTAGGGAGTATTGTATGGCCAAAACGAAGGGCATCTTGCTAATTTACGAAGTACAGTAAAGCACACCACCATATTTTGATTTGTGGTTAGGCTTGGATCTTTTTTTTACAAAAGACAAACCCCTTTGTACCATATATAGAGCAATACGATCCCCCATGCACTTCTGTTGTACTTTTATTCTCCTGTTTAAGTCTTTAATATCGCAGTTGTGCGATCAGCACGTAGCTATAGCTTACAAATTTTCTCATGTCTAAAATGGGAAAGGTGCAAGCACACTATATACTCCTTTTACTGCTGTGCACGATTTTGCACGACAATTTCTCGATCATTTCACATGCTTTAACGCCTAACGATGGTACTCAAAAGATCATGACCGACTCAATCGGATAACAGTGCACATAACACTAAAACAAAACAAACAAGTGCTTCTGCAAAAGCTGACCATTTTCGCCGCTTACAGGCTTACAGTTTTTACGAACATTTTCCCCATCCTAGCATTTCAATTTACCTAAGTTATATAAATGGTTCTAGTTCTCATCAACATTGTATATAATGAGAGAACATGCACTTCTATATTTCAACTCTTTAAGTTTAAAACATTACAAAAATCAAGTATATAACAGTTTATAAACTGTTTTCTCTCTTTTAAGAGTCTTTTTTAACAGAATAAAAAAAATGAGACACAAAAGTACATTTTAACTTAAATTATAAGTAACGTTAATATATATATATATA